TATGTATGTGTGCCTTATTTAACTTGAAGATAAGTAATCATAAGATTTTGATAGTTAATAGCACTTTGTTGTTGTTGTTGTTGGTATAACAAAATATATTCTCATTATGATGAGTTTATACTGAAGATATACAAGTACGTAGTACAACACAAAGGAGAATCTAGGATAAATGCTTTTTGTATTTATTTATATTTGAGACATTTTTGGATTCGCACTTCTGAGGAGTCCCACAATGGGACGAAACGGCCATCCAGCGCTTTCAGGTTTTCCATGATGGGCTAGCTTCAATTGACTCATGATCTCGACAGTAGTAGTCAAATTGATCAATACAAAACGAGATGACCATTTTAAGTTATTAGACTTGTGACCTCGACGTTGTCATTGGTAATGTTAAGTACACTAGTCGTAACTTTTTAATGTCATGTTCTCTTTGGATTGTTTGACGTGATCTCCGGATTAGCATTTCACTGTGTGCATCACCTATGAACGGTTTAAAAATGACAAGGAACTTCCTATTAACTGTTTGTACTTCGTCTATTCTAACATTGGTGGATGTAGTTTTGTTTTTTAAACTTCCCAGGGTTTCTGTTTTCCCGAGCTGTATACTCGAATCGTTTGGTTCTTTATCAAGTTCATTTGTATTCACTAACTAATAGTTTTTATTAAGTTTCCAGTGTACTAAAAGCGTACAAGGCTAGGGAGTTTTGTTCATTTGCATGTCCAGGTACTTTTCCTGTTTAAATTCCTCCTTATGGACTCATCGATGCTTTTTGTTAATAGAACATTATAAAAGGTTATTCTACTTCAGGTGTAAACTTAATTGCTATGTGTACTTCATCTTCAATTTCTTCAAAACCTCTAATTGTAATGTGCTATGTTAAAAGTGGATAAACATGTCGTCCATATATGTCGACAGTAAAATGTAAATTTCTGAATAAACTGACTAAATAGATTATTTCCTAGTTTAGCTAGAAAAATGCCAGATGGTATGAGACCTAATAATGTTATTTATTTATTTATTTATTTTAACACATAAGTATAGGTACAGGGAGGCACCAAAATACATATGCGCCACACAAATCTCAATTGATTTGTGTGAGGGCTGTGATACTGCCCGGGTGCCCAAACCGAAGCAGGTGGTTGTCTTAGGGGGCCACACCCCGAGCCTTTGACCTGAAGATCTGACCCACAAGGCAGTGGAGCATCGTGAGGAGATGCAGTCCCATGGTAGCCGGTGACCAACGATTGGTTCATACGCCATTTGTTCCCGCAGGATACTGGAGCCCATGTGCACCATTGGTTTGGGGTCCGGTTAAAGCGCCAGACATTCGCTTTTCGTCCTCTCATTTTTGTAAACAACAGTAATGCGACGAGAAGGCAGTGAGTAGGACTTCCTTGGCAAAGGCTATATACGCATGGCCATGTGAGAGCATTTCGAGAGGGAGAGCGGACTCTCCCCACTCTCGGCCGTACCAGGGCATTTGGGGGCAGACCTAATAATGAACCCACTACAACTCCTTTTATTGGTCCATTGATTTCTCCGTCAAACCTGATATTCAAATTCACGGTTCTTTAATTGCTATTCGATTATACATATGAGGTAGATTTCCGCTAGCAATGAAATCCATATCGCGCGATGCACTCATTAGCATTCACGCATATTCAACTGTTTGTGTTTACATAGAGAGTCAAAGCTAACAGGTAACCCACGAAGCTACTGAGACCGAATAACCATAAACTTATTCTTCTAATAGTGATATAAAATATTTGATCAATTTAATAATTCATATTCACACATGTCCTATATCTATAGCTCTAATTGACAATTATTAGACAATGGTTTTCAACATCGTAATCGGTTACGAGATATTGAATTAATTTATTGAGATAGTAACCACTTGAGTAATACCAACTAGGTGTTTTAAGAAATATCCCGTCATGTGTATAATTCACGAATCCACCTGCAGCCCTTTTAGGCGTACTGTTGGTACCAAGGCTAGATGAAGGAAGAGGGTTGGACATGCGGTCAGAAACCACATCTCATAGACAACAACCATGTTAAAAAATTGCCAACCAGATTAAACAAATTAAACCATTTAAACTCTACCTAGGGATTTAAAGGAAGAGTTATGACGCCTGAAGATGAAAATCGAGATTCTTTGGTGGTCATGAAATCGATATCCATCCTAACAATCAGAGCAACACTTAATATAAGTACATGGAGTATCCAGACAGTGTGGGAAACTGGGAGAACCAGTCAAATAACTTTGGAAATGTGGAGATACAAATCGATGGTGCTCGGAATCGGAAAAACCGATTAGACCCAAGCTGGAGTGCAAAGATTAGATATGGAAGAGATGCTTTTTTACTTCTGTCACGAAGAGGAAAATACTACACACACACAGGGAGCTGCACTGATGTTGCTCAATGAAGTATAAAATGCATTAATAGAATGATAATCTCATGGATCCAGAATCATCAGAACCGCATTCAAAACATACAGGGAGGAAATCATGATGAATATTATCCAATTATATGCACCCACAAATGACAGTGACGACGACGATAAAGGTCAGTTTTACGAGAAGCTGCAATCAATCATAGCGAAGTGCCGAAGAATGAATCTCACTGTCCTGACGGGAGACCTAAATACCAAAGTTGGAATGGACAACACCGGACATGAAGATATCACGGGACGACATGGACTGACGGAGAGAGAAAGGAAAATGGGGAGAGATTTCGCAATTCTATGTAAATTCAACAAAATAGTTATAGGTGACACAATATTCCCATACGGACGCATACACAAAGCTAATATGGGTCTAACCGGATCACGAAACAGAGAACCAGATAGATCATATTTGTATCAACAAAAATTTCGGAAGGACAATCGAAGACGTGAAAACCAAGAGAAGGGCTGACATAACTTCAGGTCACCACCTGATGGTTGACAAGATGAACCTGAAACTACAGAAGCATTGGAAAGATAGACAGACAATATTACAAAAGTTTTATATAGCCTTCCTTCGAGAGACAATCAATAGAGCTGACAAGCAGAAATATGTGAAAGATCTAGCAAGGACAGAGAAAAGGGCTGAAGGAAAAGAAAACATGAGACAACTACATGACAGAACGAAGAAACTGGCACGGAAATACAGTAAACCATAGAGACCAGTCAAGAACAAAGAAGAACAGCCAATTACTAAAATTCAAGGGCAGAGTAACAGTTGGGCGGAACAGTTTGAAGAACTCTTTAATAGATCAGACCCACTGAATCCACCAGAAATCAAAGTGGCACACACAGACCTTCCTATGGCAATCACTCCAACAACGAAACAAGAAATCATGATGGCTCATTATCAGACAAATCAAGAATGGAAAAGCAGCAGGACCTGAAAATATACCAGCTGAAGCTCTGAAGTCAGAAATAGAAGTAGCTGTAAACATGCTGCACGTTCTATTCAGGAAGATTTGGGAGGAAGAACAAGGTCCGACAAACTGGAAAGAAGGATACCTCATCGAGATACCAAAGAAAGGAGATCTCAGCAAGTGTGGGAACTACAGAGTCATCACACTATTATTAGTACCGGGAAATGTCTTCAACAGTGTTTAACCGGATGAAAGGTTCATTAGACTCCCAACTTTGAGGTCAACAGGCTGGATTCCATCAGAATCGATCGTCCACCAACCAAATTGCTACACCATAGATCATTTCTGGACAAACGATTGAATGGAACTTATCACTATACATTAACTTCTTTCACTATGAGAAAATATTTGACAGCATGGATGAGAGGAGATCATGGAATCTTCTCCGACACTATGGTTTACCTGAGAAAATCATCAACGTCATACGGGATTCATACCATAGACTATACTGCAAAGTCGTGCATGGAGTACTGCTGACAGATGCGTTCCAAGTGAAGACCGGTGTCGAACGAGGCTGCATACTCTCCCCCTTTTTTCTTCCGGTGGATTATGAAGACCTCCACATTTCAGAGGAAGCACTCAATACAGTGCACAGGTTGGATTCTACTACAGGATTTGGACTTCTCAAATCATGTAGCTCTTCTATCACATACACACCAACAAATACAAATGAAGACAAATGGTGTAGCCAGAAGCCTCTGAATCAGTATACTTAAACATACACAAGGGAAAAAGCGAGATCTTCAAGTACAACACGGAGAACACCAACCAACCTAATCACACTTGTTGGATAAACTCTGGAAGAGGAGGAAACGTTCACTTACATGAACAGCGTAATCGATAAACAAGGAGAATCTGATGCAGACGTAAAGACGAGGATTGGCAAAGCAAGAACAGCGTTCCTACAGTTGAAGAACATATAGAACTCAAAACAAATCTCAACTAATATCAAAGTCAGAACCCTGAATGCGAACGTCAAGACAGTCTTACTGTACGGCGCTAAAACTTGGCGAACTACCACAACCATCATCAAACAAGTATATATATTTATAAACAATTGTCTACGTTAGATACTCAATGTCCGTTGACTGGAAACCATCAGCAACACACTACTATGGAAGAGAATAAATTACCTTCCAGATGAAGAGGGAATTAGGGAAAGACGCTGGAGATGGTTAGGACATTCACTGAGGAAATCACCAAACTATCAAGTCATTATTAATAATAATAATGGCGGCAATAATGTTAATAATAGTAATGATAATAAACTGGATCACGAAGCAAGTCATAACTTGGAATCCTTAAGGAAAAGGAAAAAAGAGGCAGATCGGAAAATACATAAAGTCGGGAATCGGAGGCAGAAATCAAAATCATAAACAGCACTTGGAAACAACTAGAAAGGAGAGTTCAGGATAGATTAAGTTAGAGACCCATTCTCGACGAGGGGTAACAAGCCTAAGTGTCAAATGTGTTAAGTGTAAATATACACCTTCAAGTGAGTTTTTGTTTTCGCTGAAGATAGAAATTTATATAACATTCAAACTAAGAGAGAGAAAGAGAAAAAAAAATTGTTAGTAATGATATGGCCAAGTGTATTCATTCCTTTTTTCAAAAAAAAATATTTTATGCACTCATGTACAATGATTATTTGTCATATAATCAAACTAAGAATTAGTTTTCAGCTACTTGATTGAATTAAAATTCATCACAATAGCGTTCTTCTTCATTGAATGTTGAGATTTTTTTAGCAATGATAAATGTTTATTCTCGTTTGTCTGCTGATAAACGCATATCTAAACGCCTATTTAAACGCTTCACATCTAAAAAGATGAGAAAACATTAGATGAATATGTTGAATATTTTTTGAAGAAAACATACAAATCTTTAAAACAGCGGCTAATTTTTCACCTAAATGATCCTCCTCAAGATATTTCCGAATTTTATCTTGACACTTAAGTTCAAACCTCTTCCAAAGTTCTTTAATTGAATTCCATAACTTTACACTTTCAATAATCTATAAATATGATCATTAATGATGATTAATTGATTAATTAAGATTGATCATTTTACAACTAACTTACTAGTTCCTGTTGACTAGATTTTGATCTGGAAAAAGAAAAAGAAAGAAGAAGGAAATTCAAAAGCATTTGACTTAATAGACAATGAAAAATCTTTATATACGAAATTTACTTACATTGAAAATTATTGTAAGTCATAAAGTTTAGGATAGTTATCTCATTTTATTTTAGAATCTGTAATAGAATAGAAGAACCATGATTTCTATTTACCATAGTGATCAATTTTATTTCCAAGCTAATTCTAAATTGTTAGGTTTTGACCTAATCAGTCATTTCGTTATACTACCATAATTGATAAGGTAATTAATGTTGAATAAAGTTTACCTACTGACCAAATAAATTTTGTATATAATTTATATGCTTTATCTTCTGTTTTACTGTTTCAATCTTTCCATCTGTGTTGAATATTTGATCATCTATCTTCATGTTTTAATACCATTATGTTCAAACCCTGTATTTTTTTATAACTATATTTTGATTTACTAGTTGATTGGTTGTTTCAAATCATTAAAAAACAAGTTAGATGGTACTGAAGTCTAACCCAACTATAAAGAATTATCACTAAACTTGGTTTTGATTATTCATCAATATTGATTCTTCTTAATATTCATTCGACTGCTGTTGTAAATTCCACAAATCTCCTACCTGGAGATGCCATAGTTATATACTATGAATTTATTATACTAATTATATTTGTACATGCGGTATTTATTCTTATTGGAGCTTATTTTGAATGATTTTAAAGATACCAGTTGTAGAGTCCAGTAGTGTTTAGTCTTTTATATTATTATAAGAACTAAGGCCATTGACTAATATTGCGAATGAGTTTATAAATGAGACTAATTACTGGTCAAATGCTCTGTGATTATTATTTATCCAACTAATATCCATTTATCGTAAAATGGAACTATCTTGGAAGTTATCAGTGGTTAAATAAATCAACCTAAAAAAATGAATCCATAACTAAAATCAGATCCAACATAGCCAAGGTTTATACTGAATGATAATAGTATAACTAATAAGGGGATATTTAGTTTAATTTTTTATAACTTATGGCCGCCGATTAGAGAGCAGTGAATTATCGATGGAATCAATGACGCGCAAAACCCGTACGAGCAGCCTAGAGTCCTGATTGGTCTCTCTTCCTGTCTAACCCAACCAGTTAAGTCCAGAACACCAACCCGAGCTTCTGCGATATGAATAATTTATTTCAAACATACGGGGTTTATATATCAATCAAACAAACTAAAACGTATCATAAAATAGAAAATAACATTTGTACAAGATTTGGCCAAAAGTGGCTGTGAATGTAGGAGGTAGTAATTAATAGACAGGGCATCATTCAAGAATGGTAAATCGTATAATAACAGTTCATAGGTTAAAATAAAGCTTATGATAAGAGAGACATGAATATGAATAGTTTAGTTAATTAACAATTATACGACAAAAATATACTCACAGTATTGGTCCATAAATAGATCACAAAAGATTACAACGCATTATTCTCATCGGGACATAACATAGTTTCATTTTCAATCTTCTCTAAAAACGACTAGTTTGTTTGTCTTATCTAATGTAATGTAGTGTTTGATGAAATACTACATTAATCTCTTGTTCTTTTTTTGTTAGCAAAGGCAACAATCATCATAGTGAAAGTGTTAGATCTAATCCATTTTATTCTTTGTATAAACTTTAGATATTCTAGTAACAATGTTTATTTTCAGCGATATGAATGACTAAAAAAAAACTTCCGTTTGACAATTAAATCATATTACTTGGTGGCTACCAAACTTCCTGTTTATTAATGGGCTACTTTACAAATTATTTTTCCTAATATATCTTCTAATATTAGTAGTTTACGGTAAAGCAACAAAAAATCTGATCGTTAACTGACTAATATCGATGGAAGAACCACTGAAAATCAGTGAGTACAATTAAGGTCACCCACAACCTTTTCCAATGTTCGATGAGTCTGTTTTAGTTCCGGACATTTTGCATTTCATTTATTGGATGTATGCAGAATATTAAAGTGTAACTTTCATTAAAAATTCCATTTCAAACCATGAGTTTCTCCATATTTGTGCTTTTTATCTTGAATCGCGTGATAATGTTCTGTTCATCACAGACAGCTGTAGATAATTCTAGATGCTTGAAATGAAATCTTTAGTGAAGATTACAGTCCAATATTTAGCACTCACTTCTCAAATAAACAAAAAATATAACTGAAATTTATGAATAAAAAACACTTGTTTAACACTGAGAACGTTGAGAATAGCCTCAACTGTTAATACTGTGTGTATTTTTTTTATATTTGACAATGTAGAAGTGTTAGAACTCAAAATATCTTGAGTACTGGATTGTGAAGTTAATGAATATATACCTACTGAACAAGTTCCAATCAATGAAACCGTTTATTATTATAATTGGATACTATCTACCCTCACTTCTTGATAGGTTATTTTCATAACTCTAATGTTTTTCATTTTTACAATCGAGATTCACTTAGTATCGTTAAATTGTCGAAATGATTTTCAGATTAATCATAAACGTACAAAAATAGCAAATTTAAACTATTGTCTATAGACTTAACATGAGTTAAGTGAGCTGTTCATACACTATACTATTACAGCTTACAATTTTGTAGTGTTTACTGTAAAGATTAAGCAATCAAAACACAAGTGGAGGGAGATATTCATTTATGCAGTTTCAGTAATACTGTTTTGATAAGTCTACAGAAACAATAATATGATTATTCAGGGGAAATATTTTGCAATAAACTTTGTTGTTAGTGGATAATTCGTACTTTTCCAAACTCTTATTTAGAGCCAGAAATGAAGTAAAAGATTTCACTGAAAATACCTTCATCTCTTAAATTACAGTTCAAAGGTGATATAATCAATGAAATATTGATATGTTGTATACGAAATAATCTTAGAATGAATATTCAGCCGATTAATTTATATCCTCCTGTCTGTAGCCAACCAGTAGTGAGTTTACCTAAGAAAAATTGTAATTAATATTTATTTTATTTGAACACATAAATATTGGTACAAGAAGGCACCAAATATATATGCGCCACACGAATCTCAATTGATTTATGTGATGGCTGTGATACTGCCCGGGTGCTCAAACCGAAGCAGGTGGTTTTCTTAGGGGGCCACACCCCAAGACTTCGACCTAAAGGTCTAACCCACAAGGCAGTGGAGCATCGTGAGGAGATGCATTTGCATGGTAGCCGGTGACCAACGATTGGTTCATACGCCATTTGTTCCCGCAGGATACTGGAGCCCATGTGCACCATTGGTTTTGGATCCGGTCAAAGCGCCATAAATTCGCTTTTCGTCCTCTAATTTTCGTAAACTACACACCCGCCACGAGAAGGCAGTGAGTAGGACTTCCCTGGAAGAGGCTGTATACGTGTGGCCGTGTGAGAGCATTTCGAGAGGGAGAGCGGACTCTCCCCACTCTCGGCCATACCAGGGCCTTTGGGGGCTAAGAAAAATTGAGCTGTTCAGCTACTTTTATTTTTATTTACCAGTTCAACCGCTATCATGGAACCAGTTATATTTAGCGTACAATCCAAAAGGAAAGAATTAAAAACCTCTGAGCTGTAGTAGTACTCACGACATCTGTATAAATTTGGCTTCCGAAGTAATTTACAAAATTACCTCAAATTGACCTACTCTCTAACAATTCATCTCATACGACAAAATTCATAAGAATATATATCAATAAGCATAATCATTGTATGCAACACCTTAACTTACCATGGCGTTCTAATTAATTATGCTTATTCTTCTTTAAAAAAATTTCTATGTTCAGTTTTACCAACTAATATTATGTAATACCTTAATCTTGTGATTATTATATTTTCTATGCACTCATATGATTAACTACTTATTGATTTTGTATATCACATTAAATATCTATAGCCCCTATAGCTTTATTTCAAGCTTACTCATTCAATTCACATTCTTATTCTTATGTAACTAGTTTAATAAACAGTTGATTATGTAATTTTGTTTTAGTTTTAATTACAAATACATTATGCCTTTAATAAATTTAGATGATAATTTGATTAATTACTATAATGAATTATTTCCCATTTAGAAGTTTTCTGTTCTTATTTCATTGGAATTAGAAAGAATATTACAGAAACAAAAAATCCGTGACTTACCCAGTTACATTTAATAGTAACAAAATAGTTAGTGTAAATATTAAGATGAGTTTCATTATTGAAATATGAATAAAACTTGATGGACAAATATATATGTATATATATATATATATATATATATATATATATATATATATATATATATATATATATACATTAAATATCAGGTAATTATAATCATACATTAGTATGTGTAAACATTCAACACCATGAATTCTTTTCAATATTATCATGAAAAAAGTACAAATTTTGTTTATATTAATGATACACCATTGATATTGTCATTGTATTTTAGTGAATATATGAACGTCATCTTTCTGGATATGTTTTAGACAATTTTTTTTAAATAAGTCATAATAATGAAGATACCTTTTGAAAAACTTAGTTTCATTGTCTAGTTTACATGATCGAGTTGTAAATGTTAGGCCCATTGTTTTGAATCTACATACATAATTTGCAAATCCTAGGCGTATATATGATTGTATTGCATCAATTATATTGAAAATAATCAGAAATATGATACTGACAGTTCATATCAAGTTCGGGGCGAAAGGTTACAGGGAATAACATGAACTTAGCCTAAGTTCATTTTACGGAGATTAAAAGAAAATTCATGACATATTCGTTAATACTTTCAAGACGGGGTCAGATATCGGACCACAAAAGTCTGATGTTAGCCGTTCGCTCTCAAGATCGAAAGTTCTAGGTTCGTTTCCTGGGCACGTGGTGCGCACATTTGAGTCCCATACTGGGACGAAATACCCATCCCAGGATTTCTATGGCGTACTAAATTAGATCGATTCGGGATTTTACAATTCTCAAATCTCTTTACTTACAATTTTCAGGCTAGTCTGTTTATCCATGGATTCAGTCAGAATTTCCGTTGCACTCATTTCATTCTTATGTGGTCATTCTAGTTTAGACTGTTACTAAATTAAGTATGGAAAGATTTCCCAAATACGTATGCTTCAACTTCTGATAACAATTTTTTCAATTTTAAGCGGATGACCCTATTCACGGACTGAGGGGATATTTCAAACGAGCTGATACTACTTAAATTTGAAAACAATGCTGGTCAGTAGATCCCATATACTTTAAATTATCAACAGGATTTACATCTTCCAAATTCCACCCAAATTGTGCATCTCTCAATATTTATAGGAACGCATGCTCAGCGTCGTAATATTGTCTTGTTAGTGAATATAATCTTGTCAATCGGTTGTCGCTAAAATGTCCAACTACTTATAATTGAATTTATTATTTGAACACCTGAATATTGGTACAAAGAGGAACCGAATACACATGCGCCACACAAGTCACCTGATTGAAGCAGGGGTCATGATACTTCCCACGTGCCTGGATCGCAACAGGCGGTTTAACTAGAGGGCCACACCCGTAGCCTTCGATCTAAAGGTCTGATCCACAAGGCAGGGGGAGCAACGTCAGGTGACCAACGACTGGTTCATACACCATCTGTTCCCTCAGGATGCTGGAGCCCATGTGCAACATTGGTTTCGAATGAGTGCTTTCTAACTCCACTAGGTGGGTCCTCTATATCCACCGACCTAGTTAAAGCACCGGACATCCACTTCTCGTCATCAATTCCGCAAGTAACATACACGCAGCGAGACGTCAGTAAGTAGGAACATTTCGGGAGACAGTGTACCCTCTATACCCCCGGTCGTACCAGGGTATTCGAAGATTAATTGAATACTCATTCCCAATCTCACCACTGACAATGTGTGGTGCACCCATACAAGTGTCTATTCGTTAACATCAATACCAAACACTCTATATCTAGAGTAGCACAACACCCAACGTTGAAAGTCCAAACCACATAAATTACCCACACAGTTAAAACACAAAGACAAATCACAATGTGGTGGTCCTAAATAGGACCTTGATACGTTCTCGTGTGGACCAGTTGCAGGTCGCCAATTGTTTACATGCTAGTGAATTAACCACCGAAACCGTACAATGTACGACCTTGGCGTTTCAAAGCGTACACCACGTCCATAGCTGTTACTGTCTTCCTCTTGGCGTGCTCCGTGTACGTGACTGCATCACGGATCACGTTCTCCAGAAACACCTTCAGAACACCACGAGTCTCCTCGTAGATCAACCCTGAAATGCGTTTCACACCGCCTCGTCGAGCCAAACGACGGATTGCAGGCTTCGTGATACCCTGGATGTTGTCACGTAAGACCTTGCGATGTCTCTTCGCTCCTCCTTTGCCCAAACCCTTACCACCTTTACCACGACCAGACATGATTCACAGTAAAAATGGATGCACTGACTTGCAGACCAACACGAGACGATTCTGCTTTAGCCACACAACTCTGCCTAGTCCACTTAAGTCCTTAGAAAAAGAAGCCATTATTCAACCAATCACATTTCTCTCACTGATAAGTTAGGTCAACAATGAGTGATCAAGGGCGTATGACACTAAGCCATAGGTCATAGGGATGTAGGTCTTTTATTAACCAATGAGCAATCAGCACGTTTATGGTAGTGTTTTGACGTAAGATGCTTGTCACTCTATGGAAAATACTTCCACAGTTGTATATTGTTATTCAGTAAATATTGATTAAATTGGTCGTACTCTTCAAAAAATTTCACATAGATATGTGTTTAGAAATAAATAATTTGGTGGATTTTTCAGGGTTCCGCACTAATTTCACACTATTATGATGTATCTGAGGTTTATGTTATTACTTACTTGTCTGTTGACTTCCTTACTGAATTAAATGCATTGTGTGCGTTTATTTGATCGTCGACTCACTCCTTCCTTTATCCTTTTGTCCTCCTGCCTTTCTCACACTATTCATTCTCTTCCGTAGTACACGAAGTACCTTCTAGCTGAACTTGAACGGCTACAATCATAGTTGGTGTATATACCTGATAAACACCTCAGAAATCATTACGGTTTTTATGAGTGAACGCATCACAAGTTCGCTATTCATGTGAAAACTCTATCGCGTATAACCATTATCTTTTAATTGTATCTTAAATCGTTTAGAACCGATGAACCTTAACATGTTGGCTACAAAATGATCCAATTTCTTTCGTATACTTCACTTTAGTCTCGAGTCGTAATTGTATTTTTTATCATGAATCATTTTTAGCTAAATTGTAGCAGTAAGTCTCGTACATACCTTACATTTTCTGAAAATTTCGCACGTGAACGTTTGAGAACATTATGACGTAGGTTTGCACACTATAATTTTTGAGAAACTGGTGCTATTTGTAACTATTACCTACTTTTTCAGTGCTTGAAGTGTTAAAGATTAAACACAGGTAGCCACCAAACTAATATCCATTATGAAGTCATCTGTCGAAGCTTAACGTCGAACCGCGGACGTGATAGGATCAAATTTACAATTGTTCATTCCCATCCAAACTGATACTTTTAAATGTGCATTAGAATTTCTTCATTGTACGAATTATTCATTTATTAAAATAAGATTTTCTATTGATAATACTCCGGTCTTCTAATAGTTGTCGTAAATAATCAGAATTTCAGATATGGAAAGTGTTAAGGAGAAGGACTACTTGTATTACGTTTATTAATCTGACGATGTCAGTTTGTTCAATGAAGAAAAAGTATAGATAGCAGTGTTAACCGATAAGTGCGTTATAAGCAGAAGCTAATTATCCTCTCTAGCAATTAGTTAACAATTAAGCTTCGATAATGACAAAAGTTATTAGAAAGCAGGTTTACTTTCCAGATCCTCAATGTTAACTAACGGGATATTCTGAAGGTATTGTTAGTCAAAAACCCAGAATCAGTAGATATTTTTGGATTTAATTTTGGAAAATCAGCATTTTTCTGAAGTCAGGGGGAGTTATCCGTAAGGATCCTTCACCTGCAAAAAGCCTAAGCTTAATAAATACTGTGGTACCTGCTATCTGTGATTCACGGCATTTTCTCAAATCACATGAAAATGCTGGGTCAAATTATTGATCATCCTGAGAAAAACCCCATGCTTGTGGAATTCCAGGTCAATTTTAGGGAAATATCCTAAACCTGGAAGAATATTAGTTGAATTTTGGGGAAAATCCCATGCCTGGTTGAATTTTTGCTTGCATTTCCTGGTATGGGATTTCCCCAAAATGAATTAGTCTTGTCCCACAGTTTGAAGCTTGTATTTTCTTACGAAATTTCCAAAAACTAAAGTACCTAGCGCTTCCTGGAAATCATGCAACCAGTGGGTCTTGTTTTCCAACATTTGCAACATAATTTGAGGAATTCCCATATTGTGATTTAGAATAACACATATAAGCGAACAATATTGTTTTCCGTTGGATCGTCATCATGGAAAACAACGTGTATATCCTTTCTATTGTCCATTTTTTAAAAGATGATGTCCTCAGCTACTTAAGTGAATACTAGGACCCTGCTCATTATATTGTCACCAGCTTATTCAGCTACAATCCGTTCGTTATCAACAGTGAACATAATTAGCTTCGCCATTTCTGATGTAAATGTCATCACAATTGCATAGCGAATATAAACTTATAGGAAATTATAGTGGTTTAGTGTACTTCATAACCCAGTTTGTAGCGTATCCAGCAGGAACACGTGAGTCTCCCCTCACTTCACTATATCGTTGTCCTATCGAGGTCTATCACAATACTTCACATTCTTTTGCATGACTTTGATTATGAAGCCACGATTACTAAATAGTCTGGAGCCACCTTTATAAAGATAATCTCTAAAATTTTTATGGATTTTTGTGTATCGGTTAACGCACATAGATTGAATTTTCCTATAGAACTAATATATTTTGATTCTGTTTATGTACTACTATTAAAGAGAATCTTAAGATATCTATATACATATCTTATTTATGGTCAGCAAGCTGGTTCAACTCTCTAGTATTCTTTTTGCAAATAAATGTGGAAGCGCTTAAATATTAGTGTTGACTTCACCATCACTAATGGATTAAACGTTGTGGATACTATTTATAGAGGTAGCTGTCACTGAATGAAATCCTTAATGTTTTCTACTTCTGTGAAATTTGTGTTTAGCATCCAACGTTTTTCTGGGACAGATTTATACTCTTGGATAATTCGATTGGCTTAGGAATAAAACCTACTT